AAATCTTTAGACATTTATGATTGATTCAACCTCTAGCCCCTCTCCCCACCCTGAGGTGTGGAGGCAGGGGAAGGGGAAAGGGGGAAAGAAAGTTCTGACTCCCTAATCAAGTGCTGCTTCCCCAGGCAACAAATCCCCATTCTTGGGTTAGGTTGAGGCTTTATGTCACCTCCTTCACGTGATAAAAGACTCTGTTGCTTTCATCTCTCAGGAAAGTCCAACTGTGTGTAAGGAGCTCTGTGTCAGGAATGGGATGAAGACCAAAGTAGTATTTCTTATGAAATTTGCAGTATCAATATCCCTCAATATTCTTTTATTCCATTGTCCAAGATGTAACCAAAGTAAACACACTGGTGTGTTTTCTTCCATGGCATTTCTCCATTACTGCATGATGCCTTCACACTTTCATTTCAGGGTGGAAACTGTCAACCACACACATATGTACAGAAAATAGTATTATAAACCCATGGACTACTGTCTACCTCTAATCATTATCAACATATGGAAAATATTCTTAAACTGTATCCTCCTTTTTGATGTATTTTGATGCCAATCAATGGCATCATGCCAATTCATCTATAAATATTCAGTAATAATATGGAATTATTTACAGTATTACCCTGTCATTATCAAGCCTAACCATATTAATAATAATGTCCTGAAAAAGAGGGTATCAAACAGCCATTTCACGCCCCTACCACTCTCTATTGCAAACAAACTGGGGATTTCAGTTGTTCATCTTGCAGACTGAGCAGTGATGACCATCCTCTTATCTGACCCTCCCATGCCTACATCCCCACAGCCTAACTTCTGCCTTGGTCTCCATACAGGGATTCAAGCAAGGCCAAAATAATCAAACACTTCTACATTGCCAAGCCCAGGGTCTGGAAGACCTTTTTACATGGCAGCTGCAATGCTAAAAACAGCAACTTCAAGATCAGGGAGAACTGCATGAGGACTTGTGATAGTGCTGTCAGGTCCTGGGGAAAGATAGAGGGCAGGGCAGGTTGGGAGGGGAAGGAGGGGCAGCATCCAGGCACTCAGGTTCCAGAAGGTTCTGGGGGTGATGGTGGGGTAGAGAATGAAAGTAGGACAAGATCATGGATTCAATCCCAGGCTCTATAGACACTCCAGTCATGTGCAGCTTTGCTCCTGCATTCCTTCCTTCCTTCCTCCAATGTTCATGGACTGTATCTTTTGTGCCAGGAGCCGCATGGCATTCTAGGGATAAAGAGAAGACTGGCTCTCATGGTGCTTAGAGTCAACTGGATGAGACAGAACTAAAGCAAGCAGGCCCATAGGGGGAAGGGAAGAGGAAGATTTCTGCTGAGGAGGGGAGGGTTGAGAAGGAAAATGTGGAGGCTGAAATCATACTCATGAAATCTTGCCCAAAATCTTTGACACATCATCTATGTTAATATTAGATAGTATTGCTGGGTGTTGTTTGTATTTTGGTAACATCCGGGTAACTGGGGACACATGACTAACAGTTTTTGGCATGTGTCTTCCTCCTGTTTTTTAACCTATAATTCCTACAGCAAGTCACTTTTCCCTGTGTGCGTGTTAGTCTTTCAGTCACGTCTGTCTCTTTGTGATCCCAAGGACTGTAGCCTTCCAGGCTCCTCTGTCCATGGAATTCTCCAGGCCAGAATATTGGAGTGGATTGCCATTCCCTTCTCCAGAGGATCTTCCCAAATCAGGGATCGAACCTGGATCTCCTGCATTCCAGGCAGATTCCTTACCATCTGAACCAACAGGGAAGCCTTAGCTGTAGTTCTGTTTCTTCATCTCTAAAATATGAACGTTGACACTTAACTCCTAAGATGGTTAAATAATAAAAAGTTACTTTCCCCTGAATACTTACTATGAGTCCACTCTACAGGTCATAAAGTTAAATGCCCTCCAGTGAAGGGAGTGAAAGTCACTCAGTCGTGTCCAACTCTTTGCAACCCCATGGAACTTTCCAGTACAGTCCATGGAATTCTCCAGGCTAGAATACTGGAGTGGGTAGCCTTTCCCTTCTCTAGGGGATCTTCCCAACCCAGGGATCAAACCCAGGTCTCCCACACTGCAGGTGAATTCTTTACCAACTGAGCTATCAGGGAAGCCCCAAATGCCCTCCAGGCTAGGTGAGTAATGGGGATGCGAGTATTTGGAGTGGGGGTGGAAGCAGGGGGCAAAAAGGAACAGCAGGGATTATGGAAACTGGAGAAGATCCCCTCCTGAGAAGAGAGCAGCTCTCCCTCAGTTCACAGCCTTCAGAGCATGGTCCCTTGAGCAGCACCCTCAGACCCGGAAACCTGGTAGATGAGGACACTGAGGCCCCACTCCTGTCCTCCCAAATCAGACCTCAGAAAGTGGAGCTCTCAGATCTGTGCTTGACCAAATGGCTAAGGGATTCTGGTGCTCACTCCAAGTTGTGATCCACTGCCCTTGATAAATTGCAGGACTGTGTTGTTGACAGATGGTTTACTTTTTCAAACAATGCTAGAAATTCATTTTCTGTAAAACTCCCACTGTTAAATCCTGGCAAACTTTTCAAAATTGTGAAATGCACTGTGTGGGCTAACAATCATTTATATATTCTAGCCAGATGTGCAGTCTTTTGTTTATGCTCTTCCTTTTAATACTTAAAATAATCCTTATAAAACATTATTCATGACCTCACATTTAAGAAGGAAGACTCTGTAGGTCCAAAACGTGAGGTGCTGTTATATCATGTGGTAAAAAGTGTTTGCTGATGACTAGGATATGAATGTCCCTCTCAGAGGGCACAGCATTTCAAACATGTGAACACCTTCTGTCTGCCCTGGGTATGTTCCATCCATTTCACCATGTGGCCTACGATAGCATGGGATCCAGGAGTCTTCTGCTTCAGAGGGGAACTGCAGAATAGAAACAGAGATATGATCTGGAGTCCCACAGTCTGGAATCTTTATCCAGAATACAATGCCTGTGATGTTTTTGCCTTGCTATTTCTCTGAAGATGCATGCAGAGGCTGGGGAGGTTTGTAATTAGAGACCTCGGTCATTCATGAGCCGGAGTGGGGAGGGGAAGGGAGGCTGAGCCCATCAAGGGGCATCTAACCTGGACCAGAGTGAGGAGGCCCAGGAAAGGAGTACGTTGGGAGAGAAAGACAGACACATGAGAGAGGAGAGGGTAGAAAAGAGACGTCTCTGCTGTTAGGAGAACTCTCTGCAGCTGCCTCGTCTCAGGTCGATAGACTGAGGGGAAGAGGGGCAGGGCCAGAGGGCCTCCTGAACTAGAATTCTACCACCTGCAGGTCGTGTGTCCTGAGCAAGTGACTTTACTTCTCTGACAAAATGGGATGAGAATCCCAGATGCTGTAGGACTGACTTGAGGCTAAATGAAATCATGCATGTGAGATGTCTCAGGAGAGAGTAGAGCCTCCACTCACAGTGGCTTGTTTGGTGAGTCATGGGCTCCTGATGCCCTTCTGTCCTGGGGCAGCTCCGTATTGAGAGCTCCTGCCCTTCTCCAGGGAAAGGGTGTCTGTGCAGGAAGGCAGCCCACCGTGTCCTCTCAGCTCATCACCCAGATCTGGGCCTGCTTGACGTTTGGCTGGACTTGCTCCTGGGGCTTCTGGGCACTGAGCCCAGCTCCCTCCTCCCTGAGCCTGGAGTGGAGCACAGGGTGTGTGTGTGTGTGTTAACAGAAGAATGATTGTGTATGAATGACTGAGTGCATGGGGGGCTTGTGTTAAGTGATTGCAACTGGGAGTGAATATACAGGAGTGCATGAAGGGACTGTGAGTGTATCGCCCCTCACGTGTGCGCTATAGTTTTCAGCCAACAGTGCAACTGAGAGCATGTGCACAGACTCTGAAACCAGGACCCTGACTTCAAATCCTCTGTCTCCATTCTGTGATTTTAGGCAAATTACTTTATTTGCTTTCACCTCGGTTTCCTCCTCTGTAAATGAAGAAATGTCAATAGTTCCTCACCCCCTCTTTTAGGATTTTTGCAAATTATTGGAGTTGATATATGTCAAGTGCTTAGGATAATGCTTATCATATAAAAAGCTATGTTTTTACCCACTGTAATTACTTATTGCTATTATCATTAATAGTACAAGGGACTTTGACATCTCAGGGAAAATGAACGTATGTCTGTTGCTTCCACAGCGACCTCATGATGTGGGCAGTGCTGATCCCATGTGACATCTGAAGACATGGACTCTGGGAGATGCACATGATCAGGCACAGAGTTAGGAAAAGGCAGAGCTGGTACTGGAACTGAGGTCCTGTGACCCCAGTGTCACTGGAGGAGAGAGCAGGAGGAAGGGGAAGTTGCAGTGGATCTTCCAAGGTCCCCTGAGTTCCACTCAGGCAAGGCACACTCCTAGCTGTGAAAACAGATTGAGGGATGGCAGGTGGTCATGCTGTGGAGATGGGGTCAGCTCCCTACTCCTTCTCTGCCCCTCCCCTTACTCCTTCTTCTACCCGGAAAATAGGGTGGCTGCTCAAGCAGAACATTGTCTTCTGCAGCTAAGTTCTGCTGAGACCAGTGGCAGGTAAAGAGCAAGGGTCCATCCCATGGAGAAGCTGTGGCAATGGTTGCACAAAGGTGTGCTGTGTTACTTCTGTCTTCTAAGGTAGGTGAGGGGGGTGGAGATGGATGAAGGGTGTTGATGCCAAGATGTGATGACACTGGTAGAAGGCTGTACTCACACGGTGGTTGTTGTTGGTGAGCTAACACAGTGTTGATATCCTATCTGTCTTTTGATCGGCTCTCATCCACTCACTGACTATCTATCACGTGCCATGCACTGCTCTAGGTGCTGGGACGCTCCCTGAGCGACCATATTGGAATCACGATCTGTGTTTACAGGAGACCCACAGGCAGAGTCCAGTCTGAGAAGCGCTGTTACTTGGTATTTGGCCCCAGCAACCAGAAACAGGAAATCAGGTGAAGATTGCACAACAAACAGGACTGACCCAGCTCCTCCCCTTCTTCTCTTCCTTCCTTATCACCTGATCTTACCTCTCGGCCAGGATATTAAAAGCTCAGTCCATCCTCAGCATTCTCAGGAGCCCTCCTGCAAGTCCATGAAGATGAACCGACTCTGCCTCTCTGCAGCCCTTCTCATCCTCCTGGTTATCCTGGTGGATGGCATCCCAAAAGGTATTAACAAGAGCCATGACCATGGTATATCTGGGCTCACTTCTCCTCTACACACTGGAGAGAAATGAGGAGAGTTCATGGAAAGGGAAGGGAGGCATGGGTGGGATGGGTGCGGCCAGCCCTCACTGGATTTCTCCTGGGAAATTGGGCAGTTTTAACTCCAAGAACATTTCACCACTCTCAACCTGGAAAAAAAAATGAAAATTAGAATTAAAAGAATATATATCCAGGTAAAGTACCAGATCAGGGACCACCTCCCTGAGACTATTCCTGGTCAATGCAGTGTCTCTGATCCTCACTGTAGGGTAATAAAAAGATATATATTTGATCCTTGAGTGATTCCTGAGCCAGGCCTTTTGAACCTCTTGGAATTCACTGTTTTTCATAGGTCATGAGATGAGCCATGGACAGCAACTGACGATAACTTCAAAACCGCGCTTATCTCCAAAGCAAGACGAACATGCATTTGCAGGTTAGAATTTTCACCAGGCCCCATGACAGCATTTCTGGGGAAAGGGGAGGACACTGAGACTCAATCAATCACCAATAGCCACAGATCAATCAATATGCCTTTGATTTGAAGCCTAAATAAAAATCCATAAGCATTGGTGTTTAGAAATATTTCAGGGTGATGAACACAAGGAGGTGACGTGAGGGTGCTGGGCTCACTCGGGTATGGAGGCTCCACACACCTCCAGTCTGCCTTGGCCCTACATGTCTCCTTCATTTCACTGCCCCTGAGTTTTATTTTTTATAATAACATGGGTATAATGAGTGGGGTGTTTCCGACGTTCAGTCGCTGGTTCTATAGAGTTGTTGAACATGGAGGTAGGGGTCATGGAAGCTCTGATTTTCACCCAGTTGGTCACAAGCATGAATTACTTGAGATCACTTGACTCATGTCTCAACTGAGGACAGTAAGAGCCCTCAACCAACAGGATCTGCACCAAGTCCACCCACACACTATCAGAAGTAAATTGACTATGCGACACCCAGGGGGTGTTTGGGGAATTGGTTGGTGTTGGTAGAGACACCACAGATTTGGTGTCAGAGAAAAACTCAGACTCACTCTACATTGTGATTTGGGGGCTGAGGTGAAATGCGGGCACTGGAGAGTAATGAAAATACCCAGAAACTCTTACCAGTTATGTGTATTTTCAGAGTTCCTGGCCAAATCAGAAAGTGTGTCAAGTGGGTTGTGACTAGACAGTACCTTGTCCTGACCCTCCTACTATTTTTTTTTTCCATTTATTTTTATTAGTTGGAGGCTAATTACTTTACATCATTACAGTAGTTTTTGTCATACATTGAAATGAATTAGCCATTCTGATGGGCATCTGGGTTGCTTCCATGTCCTGGCTATTATAAACAGTGCTGCGATGAACATTGTGGTGCACGTGTCTCTTTCAGATCTGGTTTTCTTGGTGTGTATGCCCAGAAGTGGGATTGCTGTGACCCTCCTACTATTATGCCTCATGTCCTGGGGCAAGTCATCTGCAGTTTCCTCATCTGAACAGGGGTACAGGTTCCACGTGTTCTTTGAAATGATTACCTGTCAGGAATATAAAGAGTTTGATCACATTTCATGACCACTTTTGTCCAGTTTCTACTTAGATGTGTTAATTTTGAAAAAATATGTCTGAGTACCTTCCTTGAGCAAGAAAGAATATTTAAGTATCATGTAATGATATTTCTTTATTATTAAAATGAATCAGAAAGATACAGGACCACTGAGCAGAGCAACTTCAGGGAGAGGTAAGAAACACAGCCCTTGCGTGGTCGGCTCATGGGACCAAGGCTGGTACAATATTAGTAAAGTCTCCAAGCCCTTCCCCTTGTCCCCTTTGACTGTTATTCTGTTATCTGCTTTTGATCAATTTCCTGGTTCTTGGCCCAGGCCTCCTCAAACTCTTGGAATTTACTGTCTTTCATGGGTTATGAGTTGCATTTCAGAGGACGAAATGAGATGCATTCCAGTATGGACTGGTCTAAAAACAATTTAAACCACCTTGTAAAGGTCTGAACCTTCAGTCCCCTTCACCATGCCGGCACCTCTGGGGAGAGTGGAGGATACTAACTGGGATCAATTATCAACAGCTGACAATTCAATCAATATGCCGATTTATTGAAAACTCAATAATATACACAAACGTTGGGGTTCAGAGTATTTTCAGGGAGATGAACACAAGGAGGTGATGTGAGGGTGCTGTGCTCACTAGGACATGAAGGCTTCACACACCTCCACTCCCCCTTTTGCCCTACACATCTCCTCTTTTTCTCTGAGTTGCCTCCTTTATAAATTTCTGGGAAAAGTAAGTGAAGTGCTGTCTTGAATTCAGTCACTGGTTCTATTGAGTGATTGAAGATGGAAGAGGGGTTGTGGTACCTTTGACTTTTAGCCAGTTGGTCACAAGTGTGAGTTATTCAGGATCATGGGGCTGGCATCTGAACTGAGGACAGTCTTGAGTCCTCAGTGTGCAGAGTCTAATGTGCCTGATCATCAAGAAGATTTTTTTTTACTAAAAGGAATTCAAGTCATATTCTTTCTATTCAATGACTGTGCACTTGCTGAGAGAATGAAGATGGAAGTTACTAAGTCCCTACAAAGCATTGTTCTTGGGGTGGGGAAACAGCTGTGAAAAAAATATGGCAAAATAATTTGCCTTCGAGGAGGGAGACAAACAATGGCAGAGAGGAGAAATCCTATGGTAGATTATACATTTCCTGAAGGTATAGAGGGATGTGGAAAAAGGATGCTGTGCCTTTTCTCTCCAGGGTCAGGGAAACCTTCTGTGATAAGGAGGCTTTGAGCAGATGTAATGTGCCTGGTGTGTTGGAACAAGAGCCAGGACCAGGGTGGATGGAGCTGGGCGGGTGGAGGAGTGGAGGCGATGGATGGAGGGGAGTGGAAGGCGATGAGGCCGAGAGGCCACGGGGGCAGGTCATGAGGAGACTTGTGGGACTTATTAAGATCAAAATTTGACTCCCAGGGAAACGAGGAGTCACTGAAGGATTGATCATGGGAGCAATGGGGGTAGGAATCAATAGTTACAGGATCCCTGAGGCTGCAGGGCAGAGAGTGCCCTCTAGGGGATGAAGGGCAGACACAGAGGCCCAGGGAGCAGGCTGCTGCAGTGGTGCACGTGAGCCTTGATGGGGTGTTTATTTATGTTGTTCCCTGAATCGATCTCAGGTTTCTTGAATAATATGAATGTCTGGCTCTGTTGAGGTTTCTGTAGAGGCTTCATTACCTAGTCATGATGCATTAAATCACTAGCTATTGGTGATTGTTCAACCGACAGCTCCTCTTCCCTCCCTGAGGTGGAAGCAAGGAGGAGGAGGAAGACGGAGGATAAAAGACCACGGAGGAGGGTAGGAAGGAAAGTTCCAACCCTCCCTCCTGCCAGACAGTCCTTCCTGTGCATTCAGAGCCCACGCTGGGGTTATGAGGGTCTTTCCAAAATCATTGACATCACATACCAAAAGACACTTTTATTGTTCTCATCACATAAAAAATACCAACGTTTTTACAAACTTAGTGTTAGGAAAATAATAAAAGATATATATATTTCTTCTTATAATCACAATATCAGCATATCATTATTCAATTTATAGAATCCTTCTGAGGTATCCAAAGTAAACACACTGGTATGTTTTCTTCATGCCTTTTTCCATTACAGCATGTTTCCTTCACAATTTTTTTTTATTAATGGTGGAAAGTTTTTAACATGCACATAAGCACAGAGAATAGTATTATAAAACCCAGGTATCTGGACCCAGTAATTACTGACCTATAGCAAATATTTTTCACCTCTGAGCTCTTTTTCTTGTTTTAGAGTTGTGGGTTTTGTTTTGAGCATTTATGTTTAATTTTTGCTTCCCAGGTGGTGCTAGTGGTAAAGAACCCACCTGCCAATGCAGGAGATGCAAGAGACCTGAGTTTGACCCCTGGGTTGGGAAGACATCCTGGAAGAGGGCACAGCAACCCACTCCAGTATTCTTGCCTGGAGAATCCCTTGGACAGATGAGACTGGTGGGCTACAGTTTGTAGTGTCGCAAGGAGTCTGCCATGACTGAAGCGATTTAGCATGCATGCGCGCGCGCGCACACACACACACACATATTTATTTGGATACATTGGGTCTTAGTTGCAGGTTGAAGGCTCAGTGCTTGTGGCCCACTGGCTTAGTTGCCCCACGGCATATGGGCCCTTAGTTCCCTGACAATGGATTGAACCCAGGATTCCTTAGTTGGAAGGAGGTTCTTAACCACTGAACCACCTCGGAAGTCTTATAGAACTTTTAAGGCTAATCAAAGGCATTATACCAATTTTCCTTAAAATACTTCATGAGAAGATATGTATCTTTGAACATGATTGCTATATCATGTTACATCTAGCAACATTCATAATTCTGTCCCAGAAAGGAGGTTTTCAAATGGCCTTCTCAATTTGGCCATCCCCCACAACTCTAACATTCTCTAATACAAACAAACTGACAGTTCTAGTTGTTGACCTTAAATGGAGCTGTGATGACCATCTTCATAACTAAGCCACTGTCCCTTTCATTCCAGCAGCTTCTAAGCCTGCCTTCTGCCTGAGGCGTAAATTAATAGGTCCCTGCAAGGGCAAGAAGATAAGGTACTTCTACGATGCCAAGACCGGGCGATGCCAACGCTTTTTATACGGTGGCTGCAAAGGGAACAGGAATAACTTCCACAGCGCAGGGCAGTGCATGAAAATCTGCGGTCATGCGGCAGGGTCCCTGACTACGTAAGACAGGGCGCAGGGCAGGGTGGGAGGGGAAGGGCTGCGGAGAGGGGCGGAGCTCAGGGGCCAGACACCATTCATCCTGCACAGTGTCCTCCCCCTCGCTGCTGCCAGAGGAGGCTGCAGTGTCCTGTGAAACCCACACTGAGCGAGTTCTCCAGGGAGAGAATGGCAGAAGGTCAACCCCTGATGCCTCTTTGTGGTCATCTCAGCCTGATCATATGCTCCTCTTTCTCTTTTGGGAACACTGACTCAGCCACCCTTCAGGGCAGGTCTGCAGGAGTCCTGAGCCTCCCCTCATCCCGGCTTGGAAAATTCACTGCCTTTTTGTTGGTTTCATATTTCTTTTGAAAATCTAGGATCTGTCAAGATGAACAGTATCTAGGTTTGGGGCTACAATGAAGTCTCTCAGGAAGTTCCTTTTTTTTTTCTTGCAGAGGCCATGGGAAGAGTCATGCTCCAAAACTCTGAAGTCTGAGGAGGACCCATGAAAGTCTGGGCTGTGGCAGCTCCTGAAACAGTTCAGTCTCCTTGCATTTCTTCTTTCCCCTACCTTCCTCAGCAGAGCCTGCCTATTTCCTTTCCTCCATGATGCTGAGAGACTTCCCTGGTGGCTCAGATAGTAAAAGCGTCTGCCTACAATGCGGGAGACCCGGGTTCAATCCCTGAGTCAGGAACATCTCCTGGAGAAGGAAATGGCAACCCACTCCAGTGTTCTTGCCTGGAAAATCCCATGGACAGAGGAGCCTGGTGGGCTACAGTCCGTGGGGTCGCAAAGAGTCGGACACGACTGAGCAACTTCACTTCAGTTTATGATACTGGGAGAGATTGAGAGCAGGAGGAGAAGGGGATGGCAGAGAATGAGATGGTTGGATGGCATCACCAACTCAATGGGCATGAGTTTGAGCAAACTCTGAGAAATAGTAAAAGACAGGGAAGTCTGGCATGCTGCAGCCCATTGGGTCACAAAGAGTTGGACACGACTTAGTGACTGAACAACATGGGTGTATACACCTTAGTTCTATCTCATCCATGTGGCTCTGAGCACCATGACAGCATGTCTTCCCTTTATCCTGAGCACTTAGCACAGTTCCTGGCATGAAGGAAGCAGTTCATAATTATGTGAAGAAGGAAGGAGTGCAGGAGGAGCACATTCCTCTCGACCAAAGTAACTACAGAGCGTGAAGTTTGACACCAGGATTGTTGTCTCAGCCCACATACTCATGGCATCCTCACCTTCATCCCCCTCCATGCCATCACTGCTCTCCTTGTGTGAGGCCTTGGTGGAATTTCTGGCATCCATTTCTTAGCATCAATAATGAGAGAAGTCTTTGCAATGAAACAGCCCCCTTTTCCCATAAAGATGTTGCAGTTTTCCCTTCTGTATTTTCAAACACTGTGGCTTATCTTTCAATAAATGCACATTCAAAACTAAACTGAGGGCAGTGGAGTCTGTTGTTTTCAATTACAAATGTTTACCAATAGGATCCGTGGAAATGGTGGTCCTTCTCTCTGTTCTGCAGAGCAGCAGACGCCTCCCCTTCCCCAGTCCACAGACTGTGCCCAGTACTGGGTAGAGCAAGCAAACCCATGATAGCATCATCGACCTCTTAATAGCCACCCCAAGTTACACAAAAGCCTAGGAGACAGACCCATCAGCATGAAAGCTTTTATTCCTTACTTCTAAGTCTAGTTCAAATTTGGGGGCGGGTTGTCATCCTGGACTCTCAGAAGGGGAAAGTGCGTGAGGTTCAGTTGTTCATCTTTCTAAGGAATCTGATTCCCTGAAGTCACATGTGGGGAGGGGGTGTCTTACTTCAGTTAAAGAGGGGCAACTACTGTTTAGTGTGCCAGACTCTGTGTTAGCATTTTGCCAGCATTATTCTATTAACCATCCTAAGAATCCTTCAAGGGAGGAAATGGAGGCATGGAGATGGCACTTAGCTGCTGTATTTGTTTCCTAACTTGGCAGCTTCCTGCTCTCCCAAGTAGAGGGACTCTGATGAAGTTTTCCTGCTCTTCCTCTGGGAATATGTAGGAGGGAGGCACTTCGGGAAAACAGAGTATCTGCTTCATGACAGATGAGGAAAATGAGGCATGGGGACCATAGCAAGTATAGTGCTTAAATAAATGAGAACACAGAGGGTGCTGGTGCTGTTATTCACATTCTTCCAATCTTGGGCAAATTCTCAATATCTCTGAGCTTTGCTTTCTTTAGTTGTAAAATAAGAATAATGCTTGTAGTTGTTAAATGTTTCTAGCAGAGACCACTGCAAACACTCCCATTTCTAGTTGAACTCATTGGATTAATAACTCACTGACGGAAGGAACAGCAGTCATCTTGGAAAAAATTTTACTGTCTTATTAAGACAATGTTAGAAAGAAATTATAGGATGTGAGCTTGTGCTTGGTGAATTTGGGGAGGGTTTCAGGAAGCTGACTTTGTTCTGGATGGATGGTGTTAGGAATTGAGTAGTTCTCTGACTGAGTATCTTAACTCTCAGAAGGGAAGACTAGAAAGAGGTTAGAGTGATAATTGGTCAAGAAATAGAAGTCACTCGAGATAGAAAGGTATTTGGTCATATTGGTAGTTTGTGTAATGTAGCTCTTTTGCTCAGTGCTCAAACATGACTCTCCAATGTCCTATTTTTGTCTAGATCTTGCACAAACACAGAATGACCTCATCTGATGTTGAAGTTTTGTAAAATGTTTATGTCGAGCAGAAGAACAGAAGGGCCATTGTGGTACCAGGTCAGGTCTTGGAACTCAGAGGTTACTTTTCTCTTTGTCAATCAATATTGAAAAGGTATGATGAGAATAAAAGAGTTGTGTTTGTTAAATGCTTTGTCTTAGTATTGGCACAGTGAGCGTTTAATGAATATCAGATCTGATAAGAGTAAGAGTGATACCATAAATCTGTAAGTTCTTTAATTTTTATTGATAGTTATTAGTTTATAAGAGTCTAATGAAAATGACTTGAAAATAGATTGGCTTCAGTAACTCACAGTGTTGTGTGATCTTGGGCAAGTCGTTTCATCTCTCTGAGCCACAGATTCTTCCTTTGTAAAGAGGATGGCGATATCTGTATTAAGAAATCCTCAGATTTGGGTACTATGAGAACCATGGTGATTTTGCTGCTAGTGTGCTTTGAATATCACAGACCAAAGCAAATCATCTAAAAGCACAGAGTTTTATTTTCTTCCACTCCTGACTTCCATTTAAATGTGCTGTCCACTGTAGTAAAGAAAAGAACAAATAGAACTGACAGTAGTAGTGTCATCTTCTAGAAGTTTGACCTCAGGAAGTTCCCCCAGTGCCAGAGTGGAGTCCCCATCCCAATTCCAATTATGTTCCCTTCTTCTTCAGAGGTAATCGAAAGCCCTCTTGCTTCAATGATTGACCTCACCCAAGTCCAGCCCTTTTCTCACACTACCTTGCTATGATTTGACCCTCTGGTCAAAGGAGTTAAGTGTTAACTCTCATAATTACTCATAATTATTTCAAAGGACTTTGACCCTGCCTGGAGAAGAATATATGGCTATGGCCTCCAGCACTTTCAAAACAGCCCCTAGATGTGAAGAACATGATCTCATGTAGCAAGTGTAGATGAGGGTAATTTCTGGCCCTGGGTCACATAGACAGGAAAAGGAAGAACTGGGATTCAAACTGAGATTCCCTGTTTCTAAAACCACTGGTGAAGAGTCCAGAGTTGTGGTAGGGCTGGGGTGGTAGGCAATCTTCCAAGGTCCCTGAGATCCACTCATGTCAGTCAGTTCAGTTCAGTCACTCAATCATGTCTGACTCTTTGTGACCCCATGAACCGCAGCACGCCAGGCCTCCCTGTCCATCACCAACCCCGGAGTCCACCCAAACCCATGCTCATTGAGTTGGTGATGCCATCCAACCATCTTATCCTCTGTCACCCCCTTCTCCTCCTGCCCTCAATCTTTCCCAGCATCAGGGTCTTTTCAAATGAGTCAACTCTTCGCATCAGGTGGCCAAAGTATTGGAGTTTCAGCTTCAACATCAGTCCTTCCAATGAACACCCAGGACTGATCTCCTTTAGGATGGACTGGTTGGATCTCCTTGCAGTCCAAGGAACTCTCAAGAGTCTTCTCCAACACCACAGTTCAAAAGCATCAATT